TTAATGGAGCTGATTAATGTATACAATTCAAGTCGCCCACTTAGATCACAGAATGCAGGTCTACTTCTTATTCCACATATTAATAAAAAAACAGCTGGCGGTAAAGCCTTCAGCTACAGGGCCCCTAGTTTATGGAATAGTCTGCCTGCCTATGTACGGGATGCTGAGTCAGTCTCAGGATTTAAATCCAGACTGCAAACCTATTACTTCAGCCTAGCCTACTCATACCTTACATCATAGCTCATTGCAACTATGGCTGCTGGTACTGCTGTACATGCCATTGTGTGTATTAGTGTTGGTCCACCAGGTAGATACATCTGTTCTGACCAAACTATCCTATTCTACTCCTCAAATGTCTGGATAGTACCTGGGCTGGGCACTATCTGAGTTCGATGCTGCATCACTGCCATGGATCCAAGAGGAAGATCGCGAATATAGTTATCATTTAGGAGGATTTGCTAGTCTACAGAGAACTGCATGGAGTACTGGCACACAGAATGACACGATGGAAGACTTAATACTCCACATTTAGTACTTTTTAGAATTGTATGTTAGCATGCCCAGAGGGATTGGGCAGCCAGTTAACCTTTGACCCCTAGAGTTTTTCTTCTCGTTACAGAGGAGTTTTTGGTTCCTCTCCTCCGTTGTCTCCTGGCTTTTTCTCTTTCTGTATTGTAGTGTCATGTACTGTCACACAGCTTTGTTAAGTGCCTTGGGGCAACCTTGTTGTGAAAGGTGCTATATACAAATACATTGAAAATGGAAATTCTGTTGACTCAACAATATCCCTACCAATTGTAAAGTGGGAAAAAGGCTTATCATTTAGTCCCGGCACTGACTTCTGGAACACGTTTTCAATGGCTAACAATACTAATATACAGCTTATTCAATATAAAGTGAATTACAGAGTACATCTCACCCAGCACAAGATTTATAAGATGGGTTTAATAAATTCAGATACATGCTCACACTGTACACTAGACACTCCAGATAACTACTTCCATGCTATTTGGCTCTGCCCTACAACACAACGTTTTTGGCAGACAGTTATTGATAGAATGTCCCTCCTTGTGAGCAACGGCATTCCTCTGTCTGTATCTTTTTGTTCACTGGGAGATCTCTCAGTAATTAATTCCCCCATTCAGTACCTCCAAATAATACTCATCGCCTTAACCATTGCCAAGAAAGTTATTTTCTTAAACTGGAAAACCAGAAATACACTTAATGTCATACAATGGTTAAATCTTCTTACAGAACATTCAGTAATCAATGTTAGAAAACCGGCTGTTCAGGGACGCCAAATATGTAATGTAGTGGCTCTCTGAAGGCACCAGTTCTGTAGGGTTTGGGCATTTACTGAGACAATTATTAATTGTAGCAGTAAATCACAAAGTTGATTCTTTTGACGGCTTAAGAATCCAACCATGCGACATAACTCAAACAACGCACACAAACAGGTACTAATACACGAGGATACATTTATTAATACATAGAATATGCAT